GTTCTATTTGTGGTTAAAGTTTGATTCACTCGAATTGAAGCACCCTGTATAACCAGCAACCTTGTCGTTCTTTCCTGTATGCATTGGAAGCGGTGGACAGTGGAGTTCAGTTTGATGTTTTATATAGGTACTCATTTTGCCAAAGCACTTGACAGAATTAATCATAAGTATGAGATTCTCTTGCAAAAACTTTACAGCTTTGGTTTCGATTCTCATTCAATCTTACTGTTACAGTCATATTTATCTGAAAGACAACAATAATGTTTCTTATAATGGTCAATTATTCTTGGATTTCTATGTCAACAAATGTACGAACTGTAGTTATTCTTTTGTTTTTTTTTTAATTTCTGGTTTTATTTGTTATCAATCTTTTTTAAATAGTTTCTACTAAAAATGTAATTCTTTTTATATTTTATTATTTTTTTCATTAAATTTTTAATCATTAAAATAAGTGTTGGAAACATTTAATACGAAATAAATAAAATTATATTTTGTTGGGTAATGACGAGATTAAGATTTGTCGATTATTAATTGCATTCATGGGATACAGGGTGTCCCACCGGGAACTGCGCCGATCGATATCTAGGAAAGTACTGTCCCTGGGGCGAACACAACTAACATATCTAGAACTCTCCTACACTTCCGGTTATACCGGAAGTCGACAGCAAGTAAATAACAAACAAATTAAAATAATTCTCATTAGTATAATTTAAACTATCCCCAGGCATTTTTATTCAAATTTTCAGCAAAATCTATTCAGACGTAACAATAAATTGACAACTAATTTGACAAATGTCAATTTATTTTAATTGTTTTTGAAGTGTTTTTGGTCATGGGCAATTTGACAACAGGTCTGATACGAGAAAAACTGTCCAAAAAATTGCAAATATCTTGCAAAAAGTAGTAACGGCAACCCTAACAATGCTTATATGGCTTGAAAGGAAATTTAAATCTGCATACGACAGAGTAAAAAAATACAGGGTGTTGCATATAAGTTAACAAAGTTATAGCTCTTTGAAGTTATCAAAATGTAACAGCAAAAATGAAACACCTAGTATTAAATGTTTTAATTTGGTGTACCAAACACCATAACTTAAGTGTTACTTATGCCCTTTGCAGGTACCAAAAATCCAGTTGATATCACGCTGCTGAAAAGAGTTACAAGCATCTCCGCGGACCCTTGCATCTGTCAAATTTTTTCTTTAAAAATTATTTCAAATTCTATAACTCCTAGGTATAGGGAATATTTAATAAAGTAACCCTCAAATTTCACGTAGAATCCGAAAATTTAATAATATATAGGGTGTCCCATTTAAAATAACAAAGTTGGTGTCGACTTCCGGTATAACTGGAAGTGCTCGCGAGTTTTAGATATTTTAGTTGTGTTTGCTCCCAGGACATTGCTATGTTGCCTAATTTTAAAATTTTCCGGAGCAGTACTTTCCTAGATATCGATTGACACAGTTCCCAATGGGATACCCTCTATACAGTGTTATATGTGGCACCCTGTAAATGTCTGACCAAAATTAAAAGCTGACTCTTCACATACTAAAAAATATTCACATAAGTACCGGATTTTAGCCAAAACCTAAAAAAAAAACTCCAACAATGAAAAACATATTATAAAATTGTAACTTTTAACACTCTGTGTCTTTCTGACTATTCATATTTATTTGGATTAAAGTATATTTGCCTTGATCGACATCTCTAGTTTCGAGATTTTCGAAGACACCCTGTATAATTATTTTCAATTTTCATTTAATTCTAAAAGGTTTAGAGGTATTGCTTTTTAAGAATAAAACAAGCTGTGAAATGCTTCTATTTATATTTACAACAAATACATACATAAATTTGTTTACATTTAACAGTTATGAGATAATTAACAAAAATGTATATTATATGTTGCTGAGGAGTATACATATGCGGGTAAGCATATAGGAGGTAACAAAAACAATTAATATAGTCGGCTTTGTATTAAAATAGAGAAATAATAAATATCCAATTCGTTCCTTCAGCAAAAAATTTGTGCCGCCATGGAAACAAAAAACATATTCCCTCGATACAAATTAAATATTGCCAATAACTTAAAATCCAAGATGTAAAGATTCAGATTTTACAACTCCTATGTTTTTTGTAACATATAAATTACATATAAAAAATGTATATAAACTAGTGACTAGAAAACCGAGTAATAAATTTTAACTCGAAGATGAATCTTATAAACTACTAAGTTAAAAATCGTCATTTTGTGTTCAAGTACTATTTTATTCACTGTTAGAATAAAAATGCAACATAGCGTATAATTACAGTATTTTTAATGATGAATATTTAATTTTCATGTAAGACATTCTCCAAAGATAGAAATGTAACAAGATTTATGGATAATCGAAGAGTAATTAACGAATATAATTAAGCTTAAATATAACAATTCCAATTTAAGCGATTGCGAGTGAATGTCTGCTTGGTGGTAGGCCAAGGGTGTCGCCAGCCAATGGGCTAAAGGAGGGCAAGATGAGAGAGAAGATGGGAGAAATATAAATTATAGGCAGAAATAGGTACCTACCGTGATTAAATTTTTTTTAGAACTATTTTTAATAAAACAAGAAAAACAAGAAAAATATAAATAATTGAAAAAAAAAAGAAATTCAATGAAAATTATAAAATATATAAAATTGGTGCAGAAACGGTAAGAGGTACGAAGTAGCTTAAATGGGAGCAAAGTTGCGTAATCAGGGGACCAACATTATGCCTCTAAAAAATCAAAGCTAACATGATTAGTTTTCGAAATATTTGAAAAATACCGAAACATTGGAAATCCGTTTTTGTTTAAATTCAGCCTTGTCTGAGGTGATATTGAAAAAAAAGAACACTTTCTCATGGCCACTGTTTGCCCTCTATCGAATGGCATAATCAATTTTTATATGTAACGTTTCGTCTTTCCAGGACCATCATCAACTTCATTTCTTTAAATACGACACTAGACATTTTATTACCTTTTTTGCAAGCCTTCATGACCCCCAATACTGTACTGCCTCAGTCCGAACCATATTCAGACGTTTTGTCTCCAAAATTCATCTTCAGTGTATTCGTTCCCAATTTATCCAAATTTTTTATTTAGATTTCTTTGTTTATTGAATTATCATACACTGTAAGTGTCGTTAGACCCTTTGAAATCCGTCTACTTATTTAAACTATCACCATCACGCATTAAAATAAAACATTATTAGAGTTTTAATCCTGTACCCATAGTTATTTCTAGGCTTCTCGAGTGCTCAAAATTCAAACAAATTTCGATCTATTTTTTTCAGGATATTCATACAAATACATCTGACATACTCTTTCACAGTTACGGTTGCAGATATAATAAATTCCGATAATATTAGGCTGATTTTATTTTCAACCTTTGGCACAACCAAAGTAATTTTGAACATTTACCGAAACTTTTTAAAGAATAATATTCAGTTGGCGTTTTGGTTGTTCATATGCATTTTTAAGAATTAATTTGTCATAATGAAATTAAAATTGTAATGTTTTAATTTTCACGCAACAGCTTATTGAGTCACCAAGTGATAGTAATAGTTAATAATAATAAATGTTTTATTGTAACGCGTGGTGGTAATAGTTTAAATAACTAGATGGATTTCACTGGGTTCAACGACATTTACAGTGCACGATATATCAATAAACAGAGAAATCTAAATAAAAAATTTAGATAAATTTGGAACCAATACACTGAAGATGAATTTTTTGAGACAAAACGTCTGAATCTGGTTCGAGCTGGGGAGTACAGTATTGGGGGTCATGAGGGCTTGCAAAAAATGAAATAAAATTTCCAGGGTCGTATTTAAAAAAATGAAGTTGATGATGGTCCTGGAGAGACGAAACGTTACACACAAAAATTGATTATGCCATTCGATAGAGGGCAAAAAGTGGCCATGAGAAACTGTTCTTCTTTTTTCAAACAAGGCTGAAATGAAACAAAAACAGATTTCCAAAATTTCGTTTTTTTTTCAAATATTTCGAAAACTAATCATGTTAGCCTTGATTTTTTAGAGGCATAATATTGGACCCCTCATTACGCAACTTTGCCCCCATTTAAGCTACTTCATAGCTCTTACCGTTTCCGAGATTCCTGTAGTAAGAAGCGAATTTGTAACAGCCTGTATAGCTTTACAGCCCATTCAATAGGTAGAAGAGCTTACAAAAAATACCACCTAGAAAGAGAAAATATGGCGATATAGGAAAAAAAATTCTAAGAAAGATAATGTTTTCCTGTGGTGTATAAACGGCAAAGTTAACCTAAAAAATTCATAAAAATGAAAAAGACGGTTTTTTGCTAATAAAAAAAAACTTGAACTCCAATTGAAAAAATTTAAATAATAAAATTGTAGCTTTTAAAAAAACCTATCGATTCATATTTTTAAATATGTCGATTGTTATATTATTTTATGAGATATATCGAAAAAAACGTCAAAAATCGATTTTTATTTGTTTTTGCCGTATCTCTTGCAAATTAAGGTTTTGAAACTTGTTACTAGCTGTAAATGTAGCCTTCGGCAAGCAAAAAAAATGCCTTTTTTCAAATTAAAAAATATTAAAAATTTTTCGAGTTATATTGATTTTTCGAAAAAAAGGTCATCTCGAAAATCGACTCTTCTTGCTTGATGAATAGTCGTAGAGAAACGAATCAGGGCTTATTTTTTTCCTTAAGAGTTGTACTTTCATGGTAAAAAGAGTGATAACGATTTTATTCATTTCAAGTGTCCAAAAATGACTTTAAAGAAAGTAAAATTTTTTGGTTGCCTTTTTCTTGAATACCTTTTTCGATTTTCATGTCTCGATTATGTCTATTATATGAATCGATTGCTGGCATTTTTACGCGAATTTAAAAAAAAACGTTGCTCTACGACCTTCTGGAGCCAATTATTTTTTTTTCAAAAAATTCCACAGGGTGCTATTTAAGTGCTACAGCGTCCATTCTTACAGAGATTGAAGTTGAAGACTCATATTTACAATAAAAAAATACTGTGGTTCATTTTAGCCACTTCTGCATTTTTAATTGTGCGTCAAACCGAAGCATTTGAGCGCGGCTCAAGCTAACTGTAGCGGGCAGCTGCCCCCCCTTGGCGACGCTACTGTGGTAGGCATTTTAGAGAAAAATAAAGTTAAACTTCAATTATCTTAAATATGGAATAATTGATATGGTAAATTTACCACTTAACGGCTTTCAGTCTAAATCTGTAGCAAAGCAAATCCATTCGCCAGCATGTTTTTCGTCGATAGTCTAGCAACTTCAACATACGAAATGAATTTTGAAAAACCAATCATAGTTTCACGACCAACGATTTTTTTTTGTTTATTATAATCCTCTTTACGAAACTCTCATTTTAAAAGTTACATTTAAGTCCGATTTCACTTCGAATTTAAATAAAACGAGAATATTATCTAAAACAGTATTTTAGAAGGTGCAGATGAGTTTCTTTATGTTAAATATACTCAACACAACATATAGACATATATTGCAATTTTTCCCTATAATTATCATATCTAATAAAAGAAAGTGACCCTGTGCCAAAAATATACAACGAATATTAAACAGAATCGATATAAAATTTATAAAATTAACAAACGTTTAATTCAAAACAAACCTATAATTATTATTAAAACTGAATTAGGAATGATTTATGCACCCAACGATATAAAATGGGTAAAAATAAGTTGTTAAATAACGAAGCTAATAAAGTTCTGAGGTTCTTCGGTGTTGAATGTTTAACATAGGCCACCTGCGTATTCATCGTCTTCATTAGTTTCACTCTTCTCAGTTTTGTCCTGCTGCTCACTGTCTCCCACTTCGTTAGGCCGAGAGTTACCCTAATAAGTTACCCAAAATTTTCATTTAACTATTGAACAGTTCATAGAAACTATATAGCCTTCATAAATGATTACAAGCCACATGACCAGTAATTTTGTTTGGAATATTCTGCTTCATCAGCTGTGAGTGGTGTAACTTTCCACGAGATTCTATTCAGCCACGGTTTAAAAGTTTGTCATTGTTCATTGTAAACGACTCATTAATATCGGCAACGCCAAGATTTAGGGATTTTTCATTACCATGCAATGTTGGTTGTCCGCTTGGCTGTCACGTGGCTTGTAAACATTTATGAAGGCATATTAACTAGTCTTCATATTTTGCTTAAATCAAATTATGACACGTATATTCTGAGACATGAAATTAAATTAAGCGAATTAAAATAAAACGGTACCAACCAATCAAGTTGTTAAAAAATTCACGATTTATTAAATATTAACTAATATTGGTTCGCAGATACATTAATAATTGGAAATATGTTTTTTAATAAACTGCTCCTCAGCTAAAGTAATGAAAAATAATGTAGTGTTTGGAATTTTTTTTATCAATTAACAAAAAAATTGCGACGAGTTAAAGTGAGAGGTAGCAATTTTGTAGAAAACCGTGAACTAATAAATGTAAGGTATATAAAACAGTACACCCTTTATAACTGTATTAATTTAACAAATTTTTTTCAGATTGTTGTTTACAATTATTTACTACTTGAATCAGTTTTTTTCTTTTTGTAAAGAATGCAATATTTATGGAGATAGCACTTCCTTCTGTTTTGCTTAAAAATAACAAAAAGAAGAGCTTTTGAGACAAATGACCTTCACAGTACTAAAGACAATAGTTCGACTTATCGTCAGTAAAAATTTGAAATTTTTTAATCAATCAACAAAAAAATTACGCCGAGTTAAAGTGAGAGGTATCAATATTTTTGCCCCTACGTTGCTCCTCTTTCAATTCAATATTTTGTTTTTGTACTTGTGCCGCTTTATGTGAGCAAAAAAAATGCAACTTCATTTTTCTTGAAAATGGTACATGCTACCGAATTTCGGCAAGTATATCTTTTTTTGTATTACGCTTTAGAGTTTACAGAACCGTTTAGAAATGTAATAAATTTTGACTTTTTTTTCAATTGTACCCCTCCAATTACCTGTATCGGCGACAATGCTTTTCAGAAAGGAACCGTTTGTTCATTATTCTTAATGCACAGTTGATGTTCATCCGTGTACAAATTTTGACATTTTTTTCTTTAGCTGCTTTAAAGATAATTAAGGAAAACCATTTGGAAAGTAACAATGTTACATGAACTACCCCCATGAGGAACTTACACACATGAACGGGACACCCTGTATAATAAGCTTAGACAAATAAATAATTCAATTTTAATTATGTTTCTGTTTTTATGTTATGTCATAAAATGAACTTTTTCCTGCTCAAAATTACAAAACTACGTTTTCTTGACTTAACCATTAAAAAAATATATTCTGCCAAAATTCAAAAATTCATATTTTTGAAAAAAAAACGCAACTGAAAATTTCAGGACCTTTTAAGATCATTTGAAGGTATTTTATAAAAAAAATTGAGCCAAAAATTTAATGTCAATTGTCGATTTTGACGATTTTTAAAAATTCAAAATTCTACAAATTTTTCATTTTTCAAAATTATTTTTCGGAATATGTATATATTTTTTTCATAGCCCCAAGTATATTATTTAAAACAAACAAACTCATTTCTGTAACTATAGTTTTCGAGATATTTAAAAAATAAACTATAAAAGTGAAATTTTGAATAACATTCGAAAAAAAAATTTTTGAATTATTTTCATTTGGCAGATCTTTGCTTTATGATAAAGGAAAACTTTTGACCAAATTTCGTCCAAATTGAAAGGGGTCGATTCCAACCATTGGTCGATTTGACACGGAATGACCCAAATAAAGAATTACGAAAATACGAAAGTCAAACAAGTTTTTCTAACATTCTGTGGCTTAGTTTTATTTTAAGTTATTATTTAATATTATCATTATTAGTGGTACTAAGGCTTTCATGGCCCATACTGTTATTTAAAGTACTATAGCTGCCTTTGTTGTTCTTGGGCTAGGCTCTGTTGAAGCAGATATATTATCGGAAACCCTAGATTCATCCTGATATCGATTTCAGTTTTTGTTGGGCCACTAAGGATACAACCGAGGTTTTAGTCACAGAAATTAGGGTAGAAACAAAAACATAAAATAGGAAGGTGGAGCTGCCCAATGTGGAACAAACTGTATGTTTAGGTATTTATATTGTTACATAAATTACTTGAGAAATTCACGTACCTTTTCTGTCTGTGAAATGGGAGATTCGTAAGAGGGGGCAGCATTTTCCCTTACACTCGCTTTTGGTGGTACTGGTAGGCCTTCCGGTAGCGGCATATCTCGAGCAAGGATAGCGTATTCGACGTCCATATGTTTAATAAACGGACTGTTCAATGCCCGCTTGGCGTTTTCGGGATCCTCTTCATCATAAGCTTGTAATAATGTTTCCAAAGTTTGTACTTCGGGTCCCTCACAGTAGTTGCCTTAAAAAATAAAAAAAACGTCAGATGGAAAGGTGCTTTGTGGGAATAAGATTTTATAATGAAAATTATTATGATATCTTACCCCACTCTTTAAACGCTTTTTCTGCTGCGACAACGTCACCTCTTGCAAGTTGAACTAACACTAATGCTACGGTTAATCTGCCAGTGGCCTGATAAGATTCACTTTGTTGATGTAATCCTAATTCACGACGAATTGCATCTGCTGCTAAATCGTACCTAGTAAGAATTATTAGATGGAGATATGGATTTTGCTATAAATGTGCAAAAAATTCGAATTAATACTTACTGTTGTAATTTAACGTGTAATCTTGCTACTTTGCTTGTATATTCTGCGGCTTGCCTTGAACTGTCTTGTACCTAAAAGTAAATTTAATTTAACAAGTATGTAAGATAACTAATGTCATCAATTCTATACACAGAATCTGTAACTAACGTTACGTTAAATGTGTGATTACTTTTTATTACAGAATTTACATTACCATTGAAATTTCAGCAGCATGCTGAAATAGCTTTAAAGCATCTGCAGGATGCTGCGATTCTAATATTTTAGCAGCTTTATCTAACGATGAAGCAGCCGATTCTGCACTTCCATGAGATTGAAACATATTAGCTGCCCTTTCAGCTAAGCTTGCCACTTCACGTAAGTCACCCAGTTCTTTACATATTAGTACACACTGATCCAAAGCTTTCGCAGCATAAAATAACCTGTTGTAAGATTAAGGAATTATATTTTGATATTAAAAAATATATAAAAATACAAATACCCTAGAAAGACATTTAATAGATCTATTTAATAGTTCTTTCCAGTATAAATAAAAATTTAAATGTTTTGAGATCACCTGAACATGAACAATTTTACTTAAAATTATCTTCATAACAAAAGGATACGCTCTATTTTGTTTGTGACATTCTACTGCTTTTAGTAAACAGTCTTTGCATTGTTCAAAAGCTTTCGCATTCCGAAAACAAGTGGCTGGAAAAATGTGTCAGTATAGTGCATTACATTATACCAATTAAGCAATTTATTTATACCTGCTTTATTATATTCATCTGCTGCGTTTTCATAATCAGGTCGCCATTTCAATAAGGAGGTTTTGAGGCTAAAATATTTATAAAGCTCTTATCAATATTAACTATGCGATTAAATATAATGGCTTACCTTTTCTCGGCATTTTTTATGTGCTCTAATCCTTCTTCTATCTTCTTATTTCCTGACATTCTTTTACGTGAATCTGCTAAAATAATCACAAATCGGTCAGTTTACATATGATTTTGACAGAAATATCGCCCACACTTGTGGGCGGAGTAAAATAGAATTATCTAGGGCTGGGAAGGCATTTGTGGTTTTTCATTAATGTTCAGTATTCAACATCAATAACGCATTAAATCTTAAGTTTATTTTATACCCATACTATGATTTTGCAACATACTACGAACAATGATTTAAATAAACACTTGTAAATCGAACAATTTTATTATGTTTCAGATATTCGTAATTGCCGCCATTCTTTAAAACAATACAGTGTTCTTCTTCTTCGTCTTTCTTTTGAAAGATGTACCTTATACAGTACTTCTAGAAAATCCATGTTCCCCAAATAGAACTGTACTTATTTTTCTGATTTTGTATTTTTTTTGTGGCTTTGAGAATTTAGTAGACAGATGTGTATGTTAGTGCTAGTGTATGTTACTGTAACGGAGGTAATATCATTAGAGCCACATACAAGTATGTGATTACAGCATCCCGTGTTAAAGAGTGTGGACGCTGTAGAGAGAAAGGGCGATAGGTTGGAGTCAACCGTATCAGTTATAAAATAAACTTGCGGAGAGGCAAGTTTTTTTTCTCAAATAAAACAGACTTAAACTCTGCTTCTTAGGTAAAGGAAACATAATTTTTCAAAATTTCATGCATGCACATAGTCTGGAGTTATTCTGTATAATTTGAGAAACTCGTGTGGAACGCGACCTGATTCGGAGTGTGCCAGAAGAAGAAGAAGATACAACTCGACTCTAGATTTTTAAGTTAGGTTAAGAGATAAGGATTCTATTTTTTATTTTTGTTTTGTAGAACAATAATATTTTGAAATGAATAATATGAATTGTGACCCTGATAACAGAATATTGACTTCAAGTCCTACGTCAACAACGTCTGGCAGCTTATCACAAGAAGTCGATCATCTTTTACCCACTAGTTTAGCTGCAGAAGAATTACAATTAGCCTTAAATAAAGTAATTATTTGTTTGGAAAAAATATATATTTTTAATTACTTCCGTTTTAGGAAGCTACAGAAGAAGAATTATTGAAAGCTATAAATCGGTGTAAAGATTTAGTGTTAGAAAGTGATCAGTGTTCTGTTGAACGTAAATGGCTCGTTAGACACTTAATTGAATTGCGACTGAGACTACAAGAATGTCAAGAAGCTATGAATGATCCTCAGTGAGTAATATGTCGAGAACCACATTTTTTTTTACTGGAATAAAGTAAACAGAATAATGTTTAAATAAAAGATTTGTTATAACTTGTGTCGCTAATGCGGAAAAATAACATTATTTATTTTATTTAGGCATCCTAGAAATAAAAGCAGTGGTGTTTCAAAGAGAACTATAAGAGGTCACCATTTAAATTTACAGCCATTGTTACGAAGTACAGCGTCACGTTATTGTGATCACTGTACGGGTGCAATATGGTAAGTACATAATTATAACAATGTAGAAACTCTTTTTACCATCACCACAAATATAAACAGTATTCAAATTTGTCAATTAGAATTTTCAATTGCAGGTCCGTTGTTCAGGCTTGGTACGAATGTGAAGATTGTGGTTACTCTTGCCATCACAAGTGTCTGGCATTTATTATTAGAGAATGCGCTCATGTAGTGGCTAGTGAACGAGGCAGTTATGAGTTAGATATTTGTCCTGAAATTGGACTTTCAGGTCAAAAGTATTTGTGCGCAGAATGTAAAACACCAATGTCTATAAGTAAGTACACATTTATCTATGCAGTCTTCGCTAATACTCCACAGAAATATTATAATATAAATTTTACTATTAGCTGTACCGAAGGGGATAAGCTGTCTTGGTAGGCTATTGTTTCCAGGTAATTTATAATTATTATGAAGCTTTAGCATGAAGTGCATGTGTTAGATATACCGGGAGGTAAACTACATTTTCTCTGTTCGTGCTTCGATTATCTTAACCAAAATTACTTTTGGTTAAATTTTAACTTTGGCACCCTATATGTTGGAAAAGAGACCATCTTAATGAAATATAACATAAGGGAAGTCTTATTATTTTGACTCGAAGAATTTGCAGTAAAAAGCTTGACCTACCTTGTATTTATTGTTCACAAAAGTATATTTACATGCCTAGATATTTATAAATATCGAATAATGCATTTCTTATGTATTTTGCAATGGCTCATAGTTCATGGGTCTGGCAAATCAGGGTCACCCCACTTTAGTGGAGTCAAGATAACTTAAAATTACGCATTATTTAGGGAAGCATGGATTTTCCTAAAACCTTTTGAAATTACTTGGAGATAAGTATTAGAAAAAAGTTATAAACTTATTTTTGTACGCTAATTGTTTTTTAATTGTTTAAACAATAATAAATAGTTTTTTTAAGAACATTTGAAATAATTCTATGAATTTTAAATCGAATTCTTTCAAATTGACAATATAGGGGTTTTCGGTGTCGCTGAACAAGAATATGATGTTGGAAAATTAAAATTCAAAATGGCTGATCCAATATGGCGGCTTTTTTTAACCATTTTTTTTACCATTTTTTGTTTTTAATTCAACTTCTCTTATATTTTTAATATCGGGGTTTTTTATTTTTTTTTTCTTGATTATTTTTTTTAAAAATTGATCTTTATTCTTGTTGGTCTAATTTTTCCGCTTATTTTTTTCCTTTTGTTTATTTGTTATCTTTTTTAATTCTATTTCGTTCATGTTTTTCATGTGTAGGTTCGTAGGTTTAACCTTATAATTGGCTAAATATGTTTTATTGAAACTATGTTTTATTTTTTAAAAAACAAATTTATTACAAAATAATTAATTTTTAAATCTCATCAGGTTCTTACTCTTCTTCAAAAATAACTGGGCAATTAAAGCTTTAAGCCAATAAAATTGAAAAAGAAACACTGATTTTAAATACAAAATTACAAAATCAAAGTCCCCTATTATTTATTTATTCATTAATTATAACCCATACATTTACAGGTTTAGCAAAAAAGAAAACGAATATAAATACCTTAAATGCAAACTGAAGATTATTTGTAATATTAAGTAATAATATTACATTAAAGAATTACAAGTGTATGAGAGTATAACCTCAAAATGGACAAAATATGTGAATAATACACTTTTTAACACACTGATAACTGCAGCTTACTTGAAAACATAAAAATCATATTCTTATACCATTTATAATAATAATTATTTAATTCTTATAAACGAAAAACGCATTTAAAATAAATAAAACTGTAAGTAACAATCAAATCAGAAGTATACGGTTCCATTTAAAATTTTCAACTTGACCTCTAAATGATCTTCAAGGTCATGGTCAAGGTCACCGTTGGATTGCTCATTCAAAACCTTGCAATTTTTGTCCAAATCATTTTTTTGTTTGAGCAATATTTTCTTAAAGAATTTTCCACTTATTACTATAAATAATAAAAAAAAAATTTCGCTGGATTTACTTTCTTTAAGGTCTTAACTTAATTCTTTGATGGTTTATTAAACAAAAAATTTTTTTTGTACATTAAACTATTTAACAATAAAATTCACAGATTTTACATGAAATGTTTAGTTAATGTTTAGTTATTTTTTTGTTTTTTCAGCTATTATTTCAATTTTTTAAGAAAAATGAAATCCACCATCTTAAAGTAGAGATTTAAAGTTTTAAAAAGTGCTCTCATAAAGGTTCAATATCACATTTACAACTATAGTTTTTAATCTATAAAATATGACCTAAAAAGTCAAATTTGTGATTTTTTAAAATTATTGAATATGTTGGGCTCAATATTTTTCAAATTAAATTTTTAAGATTTTTTCCATATCGCTCACTGTTTCAATCGTCATTTGAAGAGTAATCTGTGAAAGTTACAGATATTTATTTTAAAAATTAAAAGAATGACAGCTATTTTATTATTATTGTATAAAATTATAGAATGACGTAACTTTGTATACGTACTATATACAGGATGAGTCAGTTTTTTGTAGACAAACTTTAACAGGAGATAGAATACATGTTTTTAAAAAGAAAAGTTCTTATAAACATATGTCTTAGAAGGCTCCGTTTCCGAGATACGGGGTGTTGAATATAATTTTTTTTTCTAAAATATTTATTATAACTTATAAACGAATGCTTAGATTTTTTTCATATTTGGGAGATAATGCCTATTAATTAAGGGGCATAAAACAAGCGATAAGAATGTTCAAAAACTTGCACAGTGGCGGAGTGGAGGGGGTGCTCAACCCCTTTCTTAAACAGAACTTCTACGCCAATGACTATTTTTTAAAAAAACTGTTATTTTCATTATCTACATACAGTTTAACAAAAATAATGTCCCTTCTTCTGTTTCGAAATTCCTGTGCGTTTCCGAGTTATTTTGATTTTTAGTGTTTGTTGTGGTACTAAATTAAGTAATTTATTTATTATCAATTATCGGCTAAATATTTAATTCTTTCAACGAAACCTACCTAAATATGGTTTGTTAAGGATTCTAAAAAGCCGAAATCTCTTATTCTTTATCTCTTTCCAATGTAGTCAAAATAAATATTTGTTATATCAAGCCATACTCAAATACAAGACTTTTATAAGTTGAAATCTGTTTAGTACACTAATTTTAACAATCCTTATTTATTATGTGCTGCGTAAATACTAATGTACTGCAACTAAATTACAAAAGAAAAAACATTGGATGAAAATTGATGTTAATGTTTATGGAGAAATTTTTTGAATTTGTAACAATATTTAACTTCTTAAAATTTTTTGGCAACTGCACAATAATGTATTGTATGTATGTAATGTAACAGATTTCAACTTATAAAAGTCTTGTATTTGAGTATAGCTTGATATAACAAATATTTATTTTGACTACTTTGGAAAGAGATAAAGAATAAGAGATTTCGGCTTTTTAAAATCCTTAACAAACCATATTTAGGTAGGTTTCATTGAAAGAATTAAATATTTAGCCGATAATTGATAATAAATAAATTACATAATTTAGTACCACAACAAACACTAAAAATCAAAATAACTCGGAAACGTACAGGAATTTCGAAACAGAAGAAGGGACATTATTTTTGTTAAACTGTATGTAGATAATGAAAATAACAATTTAAAAAAAAATAGTCATTGGCGTAGAAGTTCTGTTTAAGAAAGGGGTCGAGCACCCCCTCCACTCCGCCACTGTGCAAGTTTTTGAACATTTTTATTGCCTGTTTTATGCCCCTTAATTAATAGGCATTATCTCCCAAACATGAAAAAAATCTAAGCATCCGTTTATAAGTTATAATGAATATTCGAGAAAAAAAAAATTATATTCAACACCCCGTATCTCGGAAACGAAGCCTTCTACGACATATGTTTATAGGAACTTTTCTTTTTAAAAACATGTGTTCTATCTTCTGTTAAAGTTTGTCTACAAAAAACTGACTCACCCTGTATATATTTTTTTCTCTCAAGTTTAAAGACATACAATTTTGATAGTCGGATGACTCTTCTTTCATTTAAATTTTTGTAAGGTCGATTTGATCAATTGGATCAAAAGTTATAACAAATCTAGTGTAGCGCGCTCGGGGCCGCGCGCTCTTTGAGAGCTATACTTGAGGGCCGCCCGTCTCATTTTTCATACGTTAGAAAAAAAATTCTACAGCCTTCAATTCTCATTTTCGAACATTTTTTATGTAAAATTTCCTGTTCTTTCGAATGGCGCAGTTAATTTTTTTTTTAATTATATTTTATTATATATTTTGCAAAAACTGTAATTTTACTACTAATTTGTTAAATAAATAATTTAGCGTACACTCTACAGTTGGTAACTTTTTATGTTGTTTCTGACAACTTTACAAAGCGAAAAATAAAAAGTTCTCTTTTCCAGTAATTTTCGCGAAGTCAAAATTTATCTTGACTCCACACTTTACGATTGTTATTTTATGTGTTGCACAATTGTTGGTTATATTTTTAGTACATTTTAAATATAAATTTTTGTTTGTTCTAGATAGAGAATGGTCTGAAACGCGTAGATGTGATTACAATGGGCTGTACTATTGTTCTGCATGTCATTGGGGCAGTTCGGCAATTGTACCAGCTCGAGTAATTCACAATTGGGATCTTACTCCCCAGCCTGTCAGTCAGGCTAGCTTGCAACAGCTACGAGTGACCGCTAGAAGACCGTTGATCAATTTAGAAAAATTAAATCCAAAGCTTTTCACATTCGTTCACGAATTAAATTTAGTGCGTAGATTGCGACAGGAACTAATGGGGATGAGGAAATATTTATTAGTTTGTAGGAAAGCGACGGAGGATCACTTGTTATGGAAACACGTCGATATACCTCACTTAATTGATACGTCGGATATGTATAGCCTTCAGGACCTTGTAGATACTAATTCAGGAGAACTGCCATCGAAACTACATACGTTGGTTGATGTATTTTCTAAACATATAAAGGTCGAATGTGAAATATGTCGAGGAAGGGGACACATCTGTGAGATATGCTCCAATGATGAAATTTTGTATCCGTTTGATGCAACCGCTTACATTTGTAATGAGTGTAATGTTGTACTTCATAAACATTGCTTTTCTAGGAAAGATATTTGTCCCAAGTGCTCCAGAATTAAATTTCGACAGGAGCAAGTAGTTACCGAAAATGGTAATGATGTTGCTGAGGAATAAAGTAAAAACCTGTGATTTATTTATTTTTTGTTAATGTGCAATAATTGGGATTAGTAGGATAACTAAAGAAAGTTTGACTTTCAGAAAATATTTTTAGTATTAACTTTAGACTAGGGTGCAGTTCACTAAATTAATTGGGATTGGATAAATCATACATTATTTAAGTTCATGGCGATGATGATTTTCTTTAGGGGGCAATTTCTTAAAAATTGTTTTAGAAAAACACCACGATTATTTAAAATCATTTATTTTTTTTTGTTAAAATTATCACTGTTTCTTTATCAGTTATGTGAAATACTCTTGTGCTCGCAGCTTACAGTCCAAAACCTTAATAAAGCCTTAACACCAACACACTGGCCAGTATTTTATTTATTTTTTGTATTGTTTTATCTAATGTTTAATTTTATAATGATTTTAGTATTTCTCTGCAATGCTAAATACAATTTTTTAATTTAATTATATGAAGTTTGTTTAATACACTTAAATATGGAAAATTACTAAATATGATTCCTTGCTTCTGCAGTACTAAGTGAAAAACAAAGAAAAAGCAGAAAAATATAAACATCAGTCATTGTCAAAATTAAAGTATTTGTTATAAAACAGTTACCTGTTTTCAGTGACGATGAAAATAAACATGCTTAAACAAATAACTGGATCCGTTTTGTATTATACATGTATTAAAATTGTGATTATTTTTTGTCGTTTTGTCAAAATATTTGTCTGTTATATTGTAATTTGTATTTGTTACTGGTTTAATAAAATACTGAATTCTTGAAAAATGTTTTAAGTAAATTTATTACAAATAATTACAACATTAACTGAATTCTATTTATGGTTGGAATAAGATTTGATTTTACCTATAAAATATCCAGTAAAATGGGTAAACGGTTAGGTATATGACTTGTTTTAATTTGTGATATAGAACCTGTCATTAATTTGGTAAACATTTTAGTTGCACCCTATATATTTACTGTGTGGTCTGACCAGTGGCGGCTTCTGACATTGAAAATAGGTGAAGCTTATTCATTGATTGACTAAAAAGAATAAAAAAGCGCCGCTGGCGAAAATTTTCAAGGTCAAACGGCTTTAAATGAATCTGGAAATTTTTAGTTGCATTTGCAATATTACCCAAAAACTGACGCTCGTGAAAAGAATTTTCATTTAGATTTTATAAAAAATAGAAATATTAGTTCGGCTTGTGGACTTCTGCGAACATTAACGCACACCTACATGTATGTTCCAAAGAAGCTTTGTGGTTACGACAACCTCGCGTGACGTTCTCAAAATTGTTAAACCTCTTCTTATTCCACAGGCCCGACTTTGCACCCACAATTAAACACGGCAAAAGTTTTTTCAAATGAACACTTCCACACAACCACTTATACTCCGAATACCATTCATTCCAAAACTTTCGAACGTACACGTTGTCTTCTGACTTCCCCTTTTTTCCATATCAAGATAATAAGGCATTTGGCGACGCGTATCGTATAAACTGTTAAAGGCAGGCGATGGGCGGTGCTGCTTCAATTTCGGCGTCACTCGCAGGTCCCGAGAACTTATACTTGAAAAAATGGGGAAACTCTGGGAGCCATGTGGCTTGAGATGGATATACAAGTTGGGGAAAGAGTCTATAGATGTCGCCACAAAGATTTTGTAGAATAAATTTTGACAATTGCAATTATGAATCATTTCATGTCATTCTTGTTCATGTTTATTGTTTATTGTTGGTTAGGTTTGGCGAGTGTTGGTGTGTGTTTTATTTGTGTTTTTAGTGTGTTTTATTAGATATTTCATTCACATTTATTTATATAACATAATAATGTCTGATCATCATATAATCACATTTTTTTATTAATAAAAAAATGTTTTTTTGTTTTTTTTTAATAAAAAATGTGATCAGAGGTAGGTAGTTTTTTTTATGGATATCAACACAACGAAAAATTTAAAGTTGCATAATAAATCTCTATTACAAGAATTAATCAAAGATTGGTTTAGTAAAATTATTTACTTGTAATATTTTTTTATTCACCGTGAAAGCTAATACAATATAGAAAGCACTGAAACTCTATAATCATTTTCACTCTTTTTTTTTCAAAATATGTACTGAAATTTGAAATTTTTTCAACAAACATTTTAAAAAGTTACCTACAGTATCAAAATTATTTCTTATTTTAAGTAGGAAGACTATTAGAGCATTTAAAAGTGTCTTTAATGCTTGAGTGATTTTAATGCTTTTTATCAAATGTACTTATTTTCTCATGGTGACAAAATTATCTACGTGAAAATTATTTTACAAAATCAATTTGTGAGTGATCTGTGGAGGGTGAGATTTGTTATGTAATTTTAAATTTAGCGGCGGCAGAATACCTAAAACAAATATTGAGTAGGTAGGTTTATAGTTGTAGAGCGTACAACTAGATGGCGCTTGCATCTTTTACTGGCTACAGGTAATTTAACTCACTGTATTACCGATAATTCGTAGAAAAGGAAAGTAATAGAAGTTGGAGAAAGTGTCAACAGTTAGCGCTGTTAATGACCACGAAATCTGTTCAAGTTTCCTATCTATAGTATCATTTATCTAGGGTCACTCGTTCCCTACGCAGTAGTTTAATCCCGAGTTCGAGTTGGCCGCCTCGTTGCCATGACAACTGCCGTAAACAACGCTACGAAGAGAAGCAGAATACAGACTCAGGGGCTGCGCACTCTCTGTAGTGGGGGAGGATTACGCTATAGTTCATACACTTGCCATTTTGGCGCTGGCATCTAGGAATCTTGGGTGTTGATAAAACAGGAACCAAGTTTATCATTTATTTACTATTTGAATTTATTTTGTTTTGTGGATGGGTTTGTGGTATTGTTGTATTTTATTTATTGTTAATTGATTATAAACTATAATAGGACAATGGTTTTTGTGTGTTGTGAACCGAATTGTGATGAAAATGTAAGTAAGAATTAAAACACATATATAAATGAAACAATTGTACCGTAAATTTGTAACCTATATACAATATTTTTATTACACTTTCTTTCAGGTATACAATATTTGGGTAAAGAGGATTGGTAATCATACACTGAAATCTTGATCCTCAAATTGCTTATAGGAAATACAGAGTATGCGATAAGTAGTGAATTTTGTCGAACTCCTGGGGAAAAAAAGTTGCCCATATTATTTTTGTCAGGTAAATATATAAAAACTAAATAAAATATTGTGTCAATATTTTTGTATGTGTACTTTAGATTTTCATGAAAGTCCGACACAGGAAAATTCGCTTTATAAATATGGAAGTTGTGAAACAGAAACTCATTTGGAAGTACCAGATCCTATTCCAAGCACTTCTACTGAATCTGAAGTTCAAATCACATTAAGGCGGCCAGGTAATTTCGCATTTACTTAAACAGAATTAAAATTTTTAAAGTGTACCAATTTACATTTATAGATTAGTATATTCTTTTATTGGAGGTTATTTGCAATATAAATTAGTGACTACTGTAAAATAAACATAAATCATTGACTGTTGTATGTACTATTTTAAATCAACGCATGAATTTATTTGCAGTGTCCTTTACAGAATTTTATTTGATTATTTAGTAATACTTTTATAGAACTGTATAAATTGTAATAAATTCAATTATCTTTAAAGGTGAAGAAGAGGATAATCCATTTATTTCAATACCAGGTACTTCAAGGGATTGTATAACCCCAACCGAACAGGTATAGTTAGTGCGGTAGACTCAATTACTGAAGCTTCATTAAGATATAAAGGTGCTTACTTTATTTTAAATAGTATGTGTAAATATTTGTATTAGATATGTTTCTATTAGTAAAAGTGTAGTTTAAACAAATTTAACATTTCTTGAATTTCAATTTGCATATTAAGCTTATTTTGAATAAAAGAACACGGCCTATATTATAATATATACCTTGTGTGTTTGTGTGGTCTAGCTTGTAAAGTATTTTAATTTATATATTTTATAGTATAATATAACTTGCAATATGTCAGCGTATTGTAATTTTCTATAAATAATTAAAAAAACAAATGCCATTTTATTTAATAAAATAAACAAAACTGTTTACAACAGTGCAAAGAAATCATTTGAAGTATATATTAGGTAAGTAAAATTAAAAACAAAATAAGCAATTGTATTTAGAAAGAAACAATATTTTAAATAATATATCACATTTTGTCTGAAATTACTTTTCTGTGGCAGTATTTAGTATTTTAGAGTTTGAGTATTTTTTGCCATTAACAATTAAGAAATAATCCCATGAAGTAGAAGGATTATTGATGAAGGGGTTGTTTTAAAAAACTTACTTTTGCTTAAAATGATTATATTTTATACTAAGATTGTAGATAATATACTTAAAAAAAACACTATTGCACATTACTTTGATGACGTTTCAAAATTTAAAGTAATGTGGCATACTGTCTCTTTATGGTATATTATTTACAGTCTCAGTATGAGATATAATCATTTTAGGCAAAATTAAGTTTATTATTTAATATTATTAATATATTTTAAAAATCCCGCTAAATGACTTCTACTTGATACACTTGGGACATTGGCGCTGATGCTTATTACAGTCCTTCCCCCTCCACTCGAGTTAGCTATCTATAGTTATCTATTGTCTCTGTACAGACTGATTTCAATTTGCGTCACTTGCGTATACTACACGTTGTATGGTATGTACGAGGTTGATGTTCGCGCTCAACGAAGGCAATGTTTTTTTAGAAGGCGTTCACCGCGCAACTATTCTGTTTATTTCTGCGTATTAAATAAACAAACATAATACATTTTCAATATAGCTAAGTTATAAAATTTATACATATAAAATTAAAAATAATTTTAAATTGCACAACCAAACGGAAATTTTAAATGAAGTGGTGCGGCACTTGCGTCACCTCTGACGAGCCGTCACTGGAATACGATGTAGTAAATGTCATTCAAATCGTTCAATATGAAAATATATATTTTTACTTACTTATTTTTTGGAAAGTAACCTGCATAATCCCCAGTACATCACTTATTGCATTTTAGTGATACATGCAAGTGCCAAACTTTGCGAGTGCCTTCTTTATAACGAGTCCGACAAACTTTTCCTCTTCGAAAGTTTTCGGCGTCGCCGTCGTCGCGTTTTCGAACGAGCGATTCCAGAAATAGTCGTTCTGACGCTATGCTACAATCATAGCCTATTTATTTAAGAAATGCGTTTATTTAAGATCAAGTAATCATATTTTATTATATAACTATTTATTTAAGAAATGCGTTTATTTAAGATCAAGTAATCATATTTTATTATATAAAGAGCATTGCCCTTTTACGTTTATAAAAAATAGACCTAAATTAGCTGTACTTTTTAACATTTTTATCATGTACTAAACACCCTCTAGGAAAAAGTACGATATCGCGCCATTATTCTATGGCTAGAAATTGGCCTCAATGATTTGGGATCGAGGGGGATTATCCCTCTTTATCCTGCCTCATCTCGTGTAGGCCNTTTTGTTTATAACACGTTTCTGAACAATATTCCGCAGAGAAACTTCTAATAGTATTTTTTTCCCGAAAAAAAGCTATAATGATTGGCCTATATATCTAAGACTGTCAAGAGAATCATCATCTTTATTGCCACCATATAAAAAGATGAAAAAACGTTCGCCAACGGCAGTGAGCAAAGTAGGGTCGAATCTCTCATTGAGGAATAACGCTGTTCCACTAGCTAACTCACGACGTGTCTCCAGGGTTGTGGGAAATTTCATTTTACCGATGTAAGCTGCTGAAGTCGTGTCACATCCTGAGAAGGCATGGAGAAACAACAGATTATCTGCCTAATCATTCATAATAATGTACTAGTACTGGAGAATAGTGTAAGTTTCGTATCGCTGTAAAACCCTAATAAATAAATAAAATTTGAAAAAAGTTTGCAATGGAAATTATTCCTTGAAAACCCCTCTATCAAAATGCTCCGATGTAATTTTTTTGTAAAATAACGAGAAAAAAGTTATAACGACCAAAAGAAAATTTGTTCCCAAATTTTTATATATTTTCGTTAATAACTTTGTTATTTTTGGTTCTACGACTAAAACTTACTGAACCAAAGTTGTAGAGAATTTAATTTGCAACAAAAAATGTATTTACAAATTTTCTGTGCGACGAACAAAATTTGCCCGATATAGTAAGTAGCAGTATAAAAACCATTCGCAGCCCTTTTTACAAGATGGCGGCCGACGCACAAGGGTTGCGACCACATACTTCTATCCTATACTGATCATTACCTATAGTTTCAATGGATGACCTTGTTTCCAAAAAGTGGGGGCGAGACGTACTCTGTGTGTTTTGCGCATGTTCCATAATTAGGCGCGGTTGCATTTAAATTTAAAAGACAGTCACGGCATGCTCTGTACTATAGCCGCTTTATTGTATACATATGAGATATTAAATCTATTTTCACTGAGTTCACTTCAATTTCTAAATGTTTACTTTTCTACCATTTTCTTATATGAGTCCTCTATCGATAGGCTCCTTATCTAACACATTATTTTACTATTTATTTTTTACTATTTATTAATTTCAATAAATAACGTAAGTATCTGCATAACCTATTTAATATTTTGCAGGCTCAAATAAAATAAAACAGAATACAAATTTATATGCTTTTAAAACTATATACATATGCATGTTCGTAATTTTGGACATTTTTTAAATGACTGGTTTATTTATTAAACAAGACTTAGTATTTCAAAAAATCGCCACTATTCGCTCAAGCCGGGCACAACTGACAATCTTTTTTTTATAAAAAAAGTTCATTATATAATTATTTATTATAATGGTTTCTGCAGTTTATTTGATAATATAAAAAAAACATGCTATAAAATATCTGTAAGAGACCAATCCGATAATAATGTCCACGATTAAGGTGGCCATATCCCTGGCCGAGAAATGGTGAAATTTCTGGCATATTTAGGTACTGAAATCTTGAAAAGTAAAACGTGTAGAACAAAAGTAAGCACAAAAATAAAATCCTTGATGTTTTATTTATTCATTGTTACCATTTAAATTTACCCAAATAAAATAATAACAAAAAAAAA